GAGAGAGAGAGAGAGAGAGAGAGAGAGAGAGATGGGAACAAGAAGAAAAAAAAGGAGAGAGAGAGAGAGAGAGACGAGCTTGCCGACATTTGGCGAGGGCGGTTTGGAAAGAGGGAAAATGACGTCCACAGGCGTGCCGGCGATTATTCGAACGTTTGAACCGGAGAGGAGGCGAAGGGTTCCTGAGAGCGGGAATTCTGAAGGATCCTGCTGCTTGTTTGTGCTACGGGGAGTTACTGTTGACTTATTGTCGGACCGGAGGAACACCGTTTTTGACGTCTGTTCTTCTAAGTATGTCAGGACACATGGAGGAGACCCTCCTTTTGTATTCTTTCGGTTTCTTGTTTCTTTTTCATTCTTTCACGTCTTCTATATTATATTATTCATTTTAAAATGTTTTGTTTGTTTCTTTTGTCTTTCTTTCGTTTCCCTTTTTGTGTTTTGATACAAATACAACAACTGCTGTGTTTAGCCAAACGACAGAAAAAAAATGTATTTTAAAAAATGAACGTTTTTATGTCTTAGACCATACTTTGAAATGACAAAATATTGAAACCGTTAACAATACAGACAAGGGCGTTGTAGTTTTGACACTGTAACCTGTTTTAGAAAACACAAGCAAAAACAAAAACAAAAATACATAAATGAAAATCGAAAAATAGCAAAGAACTTTGACTTGTAGATAGTGAGTCTAATAACAAAAATAATCATGACAATATAATATGCCACAATAAAACGACAACAAAAATCAAGAAAGAGAAACTTGATGAAAAACAACGTAGAAAACAGGACAAACTCGTGAAAAGAGAAACAAAGAAGAAGAAAAAGAAAGGAAAATAATTCATCGGACACTCAAGTCCGTCCAAGTACACAGAAGCAAACTGTTGAAAGTTTCCTCAAAAGCGCCCACTGCAACCAGTCGTTCTTTGCGCGTGCTTTCCCCTCAGCACGGGAGGGTGTCTCTTGTCCTTGTGTCATCATTTGGCTCACGTTTGTATCAACATTTGACACGCGTGTGTACCTGGAAGAGAAGATCGTGTCTTTGTGGTGTGTATTTGTGCTTTGGGCAGTGAGATTGCTGGACGTAGTTATCAAGATAATATTGTGTACAACATTATTCGTAAGTCTTCATTTATTTTTTATTTTAATTTCTCGGGGTATTTCCCATTTAAATAAGTTGTGAATCCTTAATGAGCTCAAAGGTGGATATTGTGTGCCTAAGTAATAAGGACCAATTTAAAATATTATACATAAGTAATATTATACTTCGACAAACACTGGATGCTATAATATTAATTCAAAAATTATTTGGTCCCATTTTGTTTCTTTTGCACATCAAAGTCGCAAAGTTCAGTTTTGTCTTCTGTGTTCCCTTCTTGTTCTATTGTTACAATTGTTCAAATTTAAAAACACCTATTTGATACTTGACGACATGTTTCTCTACAAGAAAATAGTCTTCCTCTTCCTTTTCTTTCTCCTCCTCATCCTCCTTCTCTTCCTCCTGCTAATCCTCCTCCTTCTACACCTACCGCTACTCCACATACTACCATTCATCCCACCACTTCCCCTCCTTTGGTCCAAATCATCCTCTTCTCCTCCCGAACTCCTCTTCTCTTCCTACTCACCCTTCTCCTTCTGCCCCCACCCCTCCCCCTTCCCATTCCCCGTATCATTATCATCACTACTTTACAGTTACTTCTTTTCAAGTCTCACATAAAACACTTGAATCTCTTGTTTTCCTTCTTTCTTTAGTTCTGTCCCTTTCTAACCACCCCCTCCCCCCTCTTTTCCCCAACACCATTGCCCATTTACTTTATCTTTGCCTTTTCCTTTCTCCTTTCTCTTTTTCATAATTCGCTTCCTCAAAATTGTTTTCTCAAATTTTAAAATATTAACTTTTAATCTTCACAAGTATTCTTTTTTCTTTAGCCCTCATTATTTGTGGGTACGTTCTATAAAGAGAAAGAAAAAGGGAAAGAAAAGGAAAAGAAAAGGGAAAAGTAGGAGACAAGAATATGAGAAAGGAGAAAGAAAGAAAAAAAAGAATGGAAAAATAAATTAGAGTGAGGAAGAACGAATGAAAGAAATCTAGAATAAGAGAAAGAATGTATAAACAAAGTACAGAAAATTAAAATACATAAAAATGATGCAGTCTGTTTATACAGCTTGAATTAGTCTGTATGACTGGGGTTTGTGTGTGTGTGTGTGTGTGTGTGTGTGTGTGTGTGTGTGTGTGTGTGTGTGTGTGTGTGT